AAAAGGCAAGGGAAAAAGAAAAGCAAAAACAAAGGAAACCAAAAAAAAGGGAAACCAAAAAAAAAGGAAAGCAAAAAGGAGTTCTAAATCCCAGCAGAGGCCTGGGGAGAATGTCCAAATTCGGGTTTATCCAGGAAAAAGTGCTGTGTCACCCAGAACCAAACCCCAGCCACGCCACAGCCTCCCCATCCTGCCACAGTTTTACAACATCCCAAAAACCTCCATCCAACTCAGCAGCTCGCTTGAGCAGTGAGTCAGGACGAGCTCATCCCCAAAAGGGCTCTGCAAACACGATAATCTCATGAGTAAGCTGTGCCTCAGGGAGGAGGTGACCAAGGCAAGGACTCACCTCGTATTTCATGGTGAAGAAGCCGTCGCCCCCGATGCCCTCGAGCGCAAAGGCCTGCACGATCGGCCACTTCTCCACAATGAACATGTCAAATATCTGCAGGTGGCCTGCAAGGCAAGCACAGCAACATCCCCTCACCAATCCTGCCATTTCAGCTCTCCCTGAGTCCTTGGGATTCACAGATTCAGTTGTAGAAAAATCCCATTTTTGTACAGCTGAAAGTCTTGAAGCGAAAAGTATTTTTTGTGCAGACGGCAATTTTAGAAGCTCCTCTACACCTTAAATTTTTCTCTTTTTCTCAGGATATCCCACATCTCTTGGCAAATTTCATTACAAGCTGATTAACAATTAAAATTCAAGATAATCAAGAGGGAGCTTTGCTTACTCCAGTTCATCAAATGCTGGGTCTTAAGGAAATACTGAAACACAACATCACAGAATCCCAGAATGGTTTGGATGAGAAAGATCCTTAAAATTCATCCCATTGCCCCCCTACCATGGGCAGGGACACTTTCCACTGTCCCAGGGTGCTCCAAGCCTGATTTTTTTTGTCACCCTGATTTTTTAAGATTTTTTTAAGCTTTCTGATGTTTACATTCTTGTAACAAACTTTCTCATACACTTTCTGTAAATAACTCATTGTTTTGCATTCTTTTGTAGAGGAAGAGAAATTTGATGGACTGTTGGTTTGTGTAGTGTCATTGGAGAGGTGGCACTGTCACCTTCCAACCCACTGTCACTTTTGGAAATCTATAAATGTTGGGAGTCAGAAAATAAACTTGCCCTTTTTCTTCACCTTGAGAGCAGCAGTGTGTGCTCGTGTTCTTTTGTGTCCTATAGTGACACAACCTGACCTTGGTTGGATGGGGCTTGATCCTGATCCCTGGACCAAATTCCAGGGATCCAGGGGCAGCCACAGCTCCTCTGGGCACCCTGTGTCAGGGCCTCACCACCCTCACAGAGAGGAATTTCTTCTTCATCCCCATTTAATCAGAATTTTAAGTTGAGGGAAATTAAAATTTCCTCCTGGCACTTCCATGAATGACTTTTCAGGCAGTCAGAGCATATCAGCCTTCCCTAAGGGAAGCAATAAAGAATTAGAAATAAAAACAAAAATGCAAGATTACAGTGCTGAGGCTCAAGGCTGGCTCCAGATCCCAACAGGAAGCTTTGCAGGGCAGTTTTTTTTTCAGTTCTTAAAAAGGAAGCTTGCATAAAGAAATGTTTATTCTCCCCTTCCATAAAGAAGGATTTCTCTGGAGCTCCCATGGGAACAGAGAAGTTCTGTAGCAGCTCAAGACACTGCTCTGAATGCAAATCATTCCTCTGCCTCACACTGGGGGAATTCGCTCCCCAAATGAACTCTGAGGGCTTCCAGCTCTCAGAAAGAAATTCAACTCTTCAGGGAAAAGATGCTAAAAGGAAACTAAAGACTTACTAATCCTTATTTGTCTCCTAAAGCAAGGAAATCTTCATTCCCTGAAGCTGCAGGGTGCAAAAACACTTNGAAATTTTCTAAATTACAGCATCATGAACAACTCTGTAAAAGAGGAACTGCCTTTAAAAGACTGGGAAAAAATCCTGAATTATCATCTTTCAATTGTATTCCAGTCTTAGAGAACACACAGCACAGGGAAAATCTCAGAGGGAAAGTCTGAGCTAAAACTGTACCAAAAACCTTCTCTTTTAATAATGGCAGAAGAATTAATTTCTAGATGATTTACAATGATCCCAAATGCACTTCCAGCCTGGTTCCCTCCCCCCTCAGTGACACAGAACCACACAAATATGTACAAAGTTAAGAATGTCACTTCCCATTTGAAATCCCCTCATGATTTCAAGGAGGAAGCAAAGAAGAACTCCAGCTGGAGCTGCCTGGACTGCCAGAGCCAACATGATTGTTCTCAAAAAAGGAGTCCAGGAATTTTCCCTGCTCCTTTTGAAGCATTCCAGGAGTGCTTGGGGACAGGATCAGCTCCCTGGGTCACACAGGAGAGGTTCTGTCTGTGCCACCCTGTCTGAACTTTATTTTTTTCAGAGCCTCTACAGATTTGTGAAATGAACTGGGATAATTAAAAGGACATTTAAAGATCCAAACAGCTGAATTGCCAATGAAATTTTCATTAACTCATTTTAGGCATCAAGAAGGGTGAGTGATTGCCCTCCCCAAAGATCTCATCTGTTTGCACTCCGTGTTTAAGGCTTTGGGCAGGTTCACACCACAAGGTGTCACAGTATCAGTGATGGAATGAAATAAAACCTGAAAAAAGCCCTGAAGAAAGCTTAAAATCTTTCACCCAGTGGAAAGAGTGCTCAGAAAGGCACAGGAACTCACAGAGAATATTTCTGAGCAAGCATGTACAATTATAGATATGATGAGATTTTAAAAATGGAATTATTCGTTCTCTGGAGGTTTTCCAGCTATCAGGAGCCAGACAAAAGCCCATTGTGGCTGTAAAAAAAGGAGGAGTGATAAGAAAATGGGACATCTGCATTGCTGTGGCAGAGATTCAAAAAATGGAAGCAAAGAAGCTTCAAACAAGCACAGAAATGCAAAGCTGTCATCTGAAAATGCTGTTCAGAGCATAATTTAAAAAAGGGCAAATCAGTGACATAAGTTGCTCAGAGTTAAATCATTATTAAATACAGGAGCAATTAAATCCTGATTGTTGCCCTATTGAGCAGGGTATGATGTCCCAGGAATATAAAATGTCAGGGAGAGAAGGGGGTGCATCTCTTCACTCAAAACCAGGGACCCAAGAACAGTCTTTTCTTATTTTCTGAGCTCATCTCAAGGTGTTTGTCACCAACCAACTCCTCCTGCTCTGCTCTTGAAGATCTAGAATTCATGGAAAAAATTAGGGGCAAAAAAATCCACCTGAGGGTAAAAAATTTGGTTATTG